CGGCCCCGTGGCGCAGCGCCCCCTGCTGGCCACCCTGGGCGAGGGGAGGGAGCGAGCGCGACTAAGCCAGGGCCGGCCCCGCCCGGCCCGAAGAGTCGCTGCTTTGTGAGGTGTCTCCACCGCCCCGAACGATAGGGCGGGGCCGTGCGTCCGGGGCGGGGCCTGGCCTTCGGACACGCCCCTAGAAGGTCTGGCCCCGCGCTGTGGGAGCCGCTGGGCTTTGTGAATCAAGGAAAGATAAACTTGCTGTAGCCCAGGGAGAACAGAGGCGTGCTCAGCCCAGTGGACAAGTCTTGAACCCCGCCCTGCATAATCGTCCGCGCTTTGTGAGGCCGCCTTGGGGCCTCCGGGCGTCTCGGACACGCCCCGACGGGCTCCGCCCCCGGGCCCGCCCAGCTTTGTGAGGCGGCTTGGGGGGGGGAGGCGGGGCCCAGCCCAGACTAGGCGACACCCCTACACCAGTAGTGCTCCCTCCCACCAGCACTCACTTTGCTCAGTCAGTGAGCGGCTCCGAGGACGGAGAAGAGAAGGGCGGGACCAGAACATAGGACACGCCCCCAGGCCTTGGCCCCGTCCCTTCTCACCGACTGGAAAAGCAGTTTGAGCGCCGTATCCTGACATGCAAATGTCCCTCTTTTATACTTCATCACCTCCGTCCTGTCCCCCCAAACATCTCCTTTACCCTTTTCTTCGGCATAAAAATTCCTCAGCCTCTCCCTTCTGAGCACCTCCTTTCCCTCCTTCCCCCGACCCCTGTTCCTAGACCTTCCCCCAAAGATGTCTGGGCAGGGAATTCAATCAAGCCCAGCCAAGTGCACCTTTAGCCAACACGCACAAAGACATCCGACTTCCCTCCGAGTGCCCCCCTCCGCTGTTCAACAGCCCCATCCCTTTGGGGGGTCCCAAAGGGACTCTCGGCCACTTCCAACTATTCAGCTCTCACTTCCCTGCATGTCATTTACTTCTAACTCCATAATGTCCCTGTGCCCCCATCATTCTACCTTTGCAAGGGCCCTGGCAGAGACCCCATGGGGCACTGCTCGCCACCTCCACCCCCGGCCTCCATAAACTTCCCCAAACTCCTCCCTGACTGAGGGGAGGGAAGCTGGGGATACCTAAAACCCAGTGTATTCACAAATACGCCCTTCAGCCATCCAACTGGCTCTCAGAGGTAGTAGACTTTTTTTTTTTTGAAACAGGGTCTCACTTTATCACCCACAGTAGAGTTCTGGGACATCACAGCTCACAGCAACCTCTAGCTCTTGGGTTTAGGCGATTCTCTTGCCTCAACCTCCCAAGTAGCTGGGACTACAGGTGCCTGCCACAACACCCGGCTATTTTTCTGTTGCAGTTTGACTGGGTTTGAACCTGCCACCCTGGGTATATGGGGCTGGCACACTACTCACTGAGCCACAGGTGTGGCCGCAGAGGTGGTAGTCATGAAAGATTACACTCCACAGAGGCCTTGGGAATACCTCAACACGTGTTAGAATGAATGAGTTAGGTACACCAGCACATTAACACACAGAACACACCCCAGTACCCTATGCTCAAAACACCCAGGAGGGAAGAGGCAGGTGCCCAATTCTGTGCAGCAGGGGAGAGGGGGGAACCCTTATGTTACGAAGGGGGGCCAGAAGGGATCCTGATATCTCCTTGTCCAGTGATCCTTAGAAGCTGAAAATCCAAAGTGAGGCTTTCTGCTTTTAGTTCAGCCTCCAGGCTAATGCCTGTCTTTCCCACTCCTTTGTGACAAAAGTCCAGGGGTCCCCTTCACCACCTCTGTTCATTTCCCTGAAAAAGCAGCACCTGGAGCCCCCCAGAAGTAGCTGGTGGGATCTTAGGTCCTAAAAGGCTGGGAGATAGAGGGGACCCCCAATCCTCAGCCTCACTGACAGGCCCGGAAAGTGGTGAACTCGGGTGGCTCAGGTGAAGATGATGTGGAGGTGGGCCTCTTCTGGGCTTCAGAGTTGCCAGGGATGACAGTGGTTCCCGAGCCAGCATCCAGGGTAACTGAGTCTTCCTCTGAAGTCATTTTCTTTGTCCACCAAGAAAAGAGAGAGAACCATGTGATGTGGGGTTTCAGGATGTAGAGTTTCCCCATTTTCTAAGCTTGAGACTCTCCTAGCACAACAATGCTCATTCTGTCCCCTTTCACACTCACAAACACCTGCCCGGCCTTCCATTCTGCCCGTCTCTGCGCTGAGTAGGGGACAGAGAGCCTGGGTTCAAATCCTAGTTCCATCTCATCCACACAGTGTGAGCTCAGCTAAGTGACTTAACTCCTCTGCGCCTCAGTTTCCCCTTCTGCAAAATAGAGATAATCTTAGTACTCACCTAGTAAGGTTGCTATGAGACTTAAAGTTGTAAAAACAGATAAAGCAACTGGTACATCAGAAGTTATATGTTAGGCCGGATGCGGTGGCTCACACCTGTAATGCTAGCACTCTGGGAGTCTGAGGCGGTGGATTGCCTGAGCTCCAAAGTTTGAGACCAGCCTGAGGCAGAGTGAGACCCTAAAAATAGCCAGGTGTTGTGGCAGGCACCTATTCCCAACTACTGTGAAGGCTGACGCAAGAGGATCTCTTGACCCCAAGATTTTGAGGTTGCTGTTAGCTATGATACCAGAACACTCTACTGGGGGCAAAAAGTAAGATTCTGTCTAAAAACAAAAAAAGTTAAATTAGGCTCGGTGCCCATAGCACAGTGGTTATGGCACCAGCCACATGCAATGCAGCTGGTGGGTCCCAGCCCTGCCTGGGCCAGCTAATGACAATTGCATCAACAACAAAAATAGCCAGGTGTTGTGGCAGGCACCTGTAGTTCCAGCTACTTGGAAGGCTGAGGCAAGAGAATCACTTAAGTCCAAGAATTGGAGATTGCTATGAGCTGTGACGCATTCTACTGAGGGTGACATAATGAGACTGTCTCAAAAATATATATAAATTAAATTAAATTTGAATTAAAAAAGAAAAAACTGGGTGGCTCCTGTGGCTCAAAGGAGTAGGGTGCTGGTCTCATATGCCAGAGGTGGCGAATTGAAACCCAGCCCTGGCAAAAAGTGCAAAAAAAAAAAAAAAAA